GAGATCGTGCGTGTCGAGTGCGCGAAATGCAGGCGAGAGTGCGATTGAGTCTGTGCGTGCGCAACCCTCTGCGGAGATCGGGCGTGTCGGGCGCGAAATCCAGGCGAGAGGTGTACTTTGTAGTATATATAACTTTAGTACGCGGAGTATCTGGGGAGCTGGAAGCTGAGAACTGGCGACTTTCTAGTACAACTGTAGTGCGCGGAGTAGCTGGGGAGTGGGAAGATGAGAACTGGCGACTTGGTAGCACAACTTGAGTACGCGGAGCATTTGGGGAGCTGGAAGATGAGCACTGGCGACTTTGTAGTACAACTGTAGTACGCGGAGTAGCTGGGGAGCTGGAAGATGAGAACTGGCGACTTGGTAGTACAACTTGAGCACGCGGAGTATCTGGGGAGTTGGAAGATGAGAACGGGCGACTTGGTAGTAGAACTTTAGTACGCGGGGCAATCGGTGGAGCTGGAAGATGAGAACTGGCGACTTTGTAGTACAATTTTAGTACGCTTCATTCCAGCTTGCTTTTTTCAGTGAGATTTCCTGGAGGCGCGCACGCTGCTTCTCCCCTTACCAGCAGCCCCAATGCTCACGACGATGAGCTGGGCTGTCACCGCTTGGCCGCCGGTGGGGGGTTTGGGAGGCCGCATCACACACAGACGCCCACGCACTGCCTCAACTTACACGAACACACACACACATACGCAGACTCATATACACACGGACATAGATACACGCACAGGAACCCACACACTGCCTCAACTCACTCGACTTAACACTTCACACTGCACACTTAACAGAGATAACTCGCACTCTGACTTATCCTACGTGATGAAAAATGCTTTCGGGCCACTCGTCGTCTAGTTGTCATTGTTCATGATGGTGACAGTGGCAGCACGCACACCAAGCAAAACATTGCAAAACAACATTTTTGTCATGTCAGTATGAAATGTAACGTACCCAACAAAATCAATCCGTCTGAAGCATCTCGGCAAAATGAAACACAACGCGTCAGTCCTCAGAAAAGGTATGGGGCTGTGTTGTGACCGAACCTTCGACATGCGATAAACAAACCATTTCAAACAACGGTGCGAGGTTGGGCTATGTCTATGGTGGGCTCACGGACAAGGATTGCCACGTGTTTCAGCGGAGAATCACAACAAACAAAATTGAAACTTGCTAGGCCATCGCTTCTAGGTTGGAGGCCATCACTAGGTTGGAGGCCATCACTAGGTTGGAGCCATCGCTTCTAGGTTGGAGGCCATCGCTTCTAGGTTGGAGACAATCACTAATTAGGTTGGAGGCCATCGCTTCTAGGTTGGAGGCCATCA